AGTCAGGGAACTCTATTTGCATGCACTATTTGCATGCAGGCATTGATTTGCCATGCGTTCTGGTGCAGCCGATCGCACCGCGGTGCCATTGACTTTAATGCATCGCCACGCCCCCTCCCACCAAAGCGCAGTGAGCTGGCCGGGTTGCAATCCAGTGTGTTCCAGCACTAAATCGGCCGGAAGTGTGTAGCTAACCATAGATATGAGAGATCAGACCGCTGAGGAGGTGCCATCCAACCACCTGGAGATGCATTTTGTTCCAGCTTCAGGCATGACCCTGAACGCTTTGGTCATAGATGCCCCTTACAAGTAAGTTCTGTGAAAGGATGTTTAGAATCCTTTTCATTTTCAGGACAGTGTATTCAAGTTTTTTTTTTAGTTTTGAGTGGCTAGTGAGCATTTGACCGTGGGCAGGCAATCTTTTATTCAACAAGCACGCCGCCTTCTTGTCATTTGGGCTAGATTTGACATTAGGTCACACAGGCTGTGGCGCGGGGTGCCATTGCTGCCAGGGGTAATGCTGAGCCCAGAGTTACAAAGTGTTCTGAATCCAGGACTCTGCAAAGAAGCATCAGGTGACCTGTGCTGGAATGTTCTGTGTTCTAGCAATGGGCACTGCTGGTGTCTTGGGGGAGATATTGGACATCATGTATGTATATAATATGCTATGTATAACTGAAGGTTTCTGACTTTTGCCCTGCCTGCCAGAGTAATCTAGTTGGTTTCTTATTGTTACTATCCCTGCATAGTGTATTTGTATTGGCAAAATATAGTACTATATGCTTACTGTTCACCAAATCAACCCATCACCTAGAACTATTCTGCCAGCCAAGTAGCATGACTGTTTGCACCATTCTATTAGGCATTGGATCCAGATATCCAGACACAGAGTGTCTCTTGAAACCTCTTTAATTCCAGCTTCAACATGCCCTGTCATGTCTGATCTGGTCGGTGTTATACTAAAGGCTAGCCTGTCACTGGGGTGGGATGGGGGTGGCGCAAGTCATTTGGCCTAGGGGACAAACATGAATCTGGTATTGCTTAGAAAGGCAGAAAGAGATCAATGTACATCATTGTCCTTTTCACTTACCTCATTGAAGAAATAATATCAAGTGCCAATTCCTTTGGTGTTTTCATGTAAACCCCACAGCCAACAGAGCTCTGCTTCATGATGGAAGATGCCTTCAGCAAAAGGGAGCTTCTAAAAATGGAGAAGAAAGTCCTCAAACGGCTGAGCTTTGAGCTGCATTACACACAACCCTTGTACTTCCTACGCATCCTGTCCATTGCTGGCAAGCGTCCCGAAAAGGTGTGTATAACAGAAACCATCCATCATCCGTAGGCTTTCACAGCTGACCACCTTCTGAAAATGCTAGTTGTCTGGGTGTAATGCTGATTCTTCCCAAGAACAGTTGGAAGTCAATAACTCTTAATCTAGGAAATAAATAAATACGCCAGAATTCCATATTTGTATACTAGGGGGCTGCTGATGACCTTTTTTTTGTTTTGTTATAAAATGATATGTATTATGCTGCCCAGTACTGCCTCTGTTGAGTGAAATCCGCACTTTCTTGTAGTGCTAGAGGTGTTTTTAGAATCTTCAGCATCTGATACTTTAGAGTGTGTTGGATGCCAAGGTCTTTCCACGGCCTCCTGCAGTTCCACCTGCAAGGGACATGCTTATGTCATAACAGGCCAGTTAGTGGAATCACAGCAAGCAGTAGATAGACGTAGGCATCAGACCCACCTGGAAGTGTTGGATGCTAAAGAATCTTTAGGTGTCTCTATAAGAAGTTTACTGTTTTTTGTTTTGCTCCTAACAACATTCGATTCTTGTGTCAGTGAAGTCATTGGTGGATGAAAAGTCACCAGCACTCCAGAGATGTAAGTGAATCTCACAGGCTTATTGTGAAGAACATAGAGTATCTCAAGGCCACTCTATGTTGCCTTGTGAAAGGGATCATGAAACGTCGGTATATATGTCTGTGATGCTGTTCTTCACAGATCCAATTACATGTCTGGAGTCGGGGGCCAGATTTCCCACAAGGCCACCAGGGCCTGGTCTCTGGGCAGGTAGTTTTTTTTACATTTTTTCTACATCTATCCCTCCTTTGGGCAAGCAGGGCTATATGTACAGTGGGGAAGCCGGTGTTTAGTAGAAGTGATCCCGGCTGTGCCTCCAAGATCACTTATAATATGCCTGCAGGTCCGTCTGCCCGCACCTCCGGCTGCCTCTGTCCCTGCTGGCCACCTCCCTCCCTGCCTTGGTTTTCGGGGTCCCCTGCTGTTCTGGGGGACCCCGGACCACAGCACATTCATTCAGGATATGGAGCAGAGCGGAGAACGTCCGTTCTCCGCTCTGCTTTGTGTAAACACTGAGACGGAAGAGCTGCACTTGCAGCCTTCCCCTCTCAGCTGTCGCAGGAGAGCCAGCACAGTGCTGTGCTCAAACTCCTGTATTGGAGGTGACAGGTTCAATAAAGAGAACCTGTCCCTCCAAATGCAATCACACAGGGGGCTTGTTAGTTCCTATGTGATGGGGGGAAAAAATGGATAAAATAAACATAAGAGAGTAAATCCTGCAGTGTTTGGAGTGCTGGTGACTCTGCATCCTTTGATCTTGTTTTGGCACAGCTTCATCCAGCATCATCACTTTCAACACCCATCTATTATTTGAAGATCCAGTACCGTCAGGGGTGCAGCTTTATATATATATATATATATATAAACTGAATAGTGAGGTCATTGGGTCTATACCTAGATTCCGGACCCTGTAGTACTGTAAGAATAAAGAGAGGAGCCGCTGTAATTTATCTAAGTGGATTTGTGGTTTCATATTAAACTTGGGCCATAGGCCTTCTTAACCAAAAGTACGGAGTTCTTCAGCATGGTGCCTGTTGCCCCGTAGCAGCCAATAGAATGTGCCCTGCAAAATGACAGCTTGAGAACCATAGGCCCAATATTACTGGCAATTCTGCAGTCACACTAGCAGTTCGATTGCATTGTGAGAAAGTCGGTCAAGATGAATATTTTAGATTTGTTTTTTCCCACAATTGTAGGTTCTGTACCTCGCTATGTACTTTATGGAATTGGCACTACTTGAGGCTGATGGAGCAATGGTTGAGCCTGCCCTTTTAGCCTCTGGGGCACTGAAACTGGCAGAGATGGTATCCCACGAGTCTGGATCCTTGTGTCCTAGTCAAGCGTGCCAAGGCTTATTATATTCCTACAGGTATGGATGATTATACTGACATATACACAACCCTTTATTATACATGTATACTTGTTACAGTTACACAATGATTGCAGCCATGTTTTGGGTAGGTCTTCTTTTTAGAGGTTGTTGACTAGAATGGAGTGACATGGGTGAAGTAAAAAGCATATAGGGCAGGGGCAACCTCGGCACTCCAGCTGTGGTGAAACTACAAATACCATCATACCTTTGCTTCTGGGAGTCATGCGTGCCCACAGCTGGAATGCGGAGGTCGTCTACCCCTGATTTTAGGGTGTGTGTATAGCCAAAACTTTTTTTTCTTAGTTTTGAGTACAGAATGGAAGCATTCAAACCCGTGTTAGGTTTTTATTGCTGTCTCTGTACATGCTGAGGAGAGTCACTCCTCTGTTTTGGTCTTGTAACCATTTGTCATCGAGACTGAGAATAATGGAAGATCCAAAATGTAAGAAATGTCACAGGAACTGGAGGTGAGGGGAAATCCTCCAATGGGGAAACCTGTTCCAGTGACCAGGAAACGGACAGGAAATGAAGTGAAATCTCCCCAATGGGACACAAACAGGAAGAAATAAACTGAGGACTTTTTAACCCTTCCTTACCAAAACTAATAAAAGATGGATTATATACACACTTTATTGTTCTATCTTCCTGTAAACTACATTAGTTCTGGAACAAAATGACTGGCTCACTGTGCATGAATTTTTAGATGGTAAGCCCTCAGAGGCAGGGCCCTCCTTACCATCTTGTCTTGAATTGTATTGTGATTGACAAACTGTTGGCGCTATATAAATCCTGTATAATAATAATAATAATGAATGACAGGTACTCGGCAATCAACCTTCTCTTGTTCTGTTATAGTGATGCAGAACTGAGCAGCCCCCAGAATCTAATGGCCAAAACAGCTCTCCGGGCCGGCCAAGAGCTCAGAGCCACGTGGCAAAAGTACTCTCGTCCTCAGCGACTCGAGGTGAGCATAGGACCTGCTCTGGCAAACTCTAGGCACCTTGCTAGATGCATAGCTTCGCTAGGTCAAAATTCCAGCTGAGCCCATGCCAGATAAGAGACTAATCCATATCAGGGACTTGATCATTTGAATGAACATGCATAACTGGTCACCACAACATCCTATTATGTGATGTCAATGAGACAGGAATGACAAGCAGAGTTTGACTTGTGGATTTCTGCTGTAACCTACATCCTAACCTGCATCTCCCTTGTAAACCATATCATTCTTATGGTACCTGTGTCTACTGAGGTTGGGTAAAGGTGCAGCCAAGACTGTCTGATAGGGCAGACAGCCATGTGACCAAAAGCAGAAGACTGGTTGGTTGTGCGAATAATATCTGTGACCTGTTTTTGTAACATGGTTGCCTCCTTCAAGGCAGAGCCGCCTAGCAGTGACTTTGATTGCATCTTCATCTATTCTGTGCTTTTTATACTATCCTGCAGTGTGACCTCTAAGCCTTGATATATAATAGCTCTCATAGAGCACCGTTGTAGCTATATAGTCACAATGCAATACCAGATTTGACAAGCAGGTGCTGCTGTTGTAGGTGGTCTGTACAAACAGAGCTCTCGGTTCCCTGAGACCGTGACCACTTTTACACGTTACAAAATGTAGTAGCCAAAAGCGTCAAATGATGGAAAATATTTTTATACATTGGCATTCTCATTCAAAGGTTTGTGTTTTTTCACTTTGACATTTTTTAAATAATATTTCAAATTTTGTTTTCCGTTTGTAAAATAAGATTGTATATTTTATGTGTATGGATATGTAATGTGTGTTTTTTTTATTGCACTGCATTTATGTAATAACTAAAAGAATGTACAAACAACCTGTAAAGTAAAGAGTTTCTAAAATTCTTGTAAATATAAAGAAAGAAGCGGTGTATATGTAATAAAAGTGAATATTTTTATACATTTTGTGCATGAGTCCATTTTGCTGAATACACTGAACCTCCTGTCCTTGCATGAATAAAGTCCGCCACCTGGTGGTCATGAGTGGAAACACATCGTTTATGTAACGCCACAATGTTCATACCATTGCAGGTTACATGAAAAGTCTCTACTCCACATGAAGTATTGATAGGTTGGTTGGTTTGTTTGTTTTTAACTGAGTGACGGCAGAAGTGTCTCTTGTTTACAAAAAAAGAAGCCATGAAGATGCCTAATATTGAGCTTTAACTATTGAGCAGAAGAAAAATATGGGTGTTACCAACCAACTGCAACCAACCAGAGTTTGGCTTTCATTCTCCAGCATGAATAAAAAGAAATAGCAGCTGGAATCACATTGGTTGCTATAACAACAGCTTTTTATTTTGTTCTTTTGTTTGGTTGCAGCACATTCTACAATCGGACATTACTATGAACCGCATCTGTCTATGAACTGCACAAAATTGTATTGGGAAACAAAATCTTTATCTGGGCGGTATACTATAAAGGTGCATGAGAGCGCGAGAGACAGACCAATAGACACACAGAAAGAGAAGAGAGACAGAGAGGGAGACCGAGAAACAGAGTGCGAGGGAGAGAGACAGATACAGACTGAGAGACACAGAGAGAGAGAGACCGAGAAACAGAGAGACAGACCGAGCGAGACCGAGAGAGAGACAGTATGACCAACAGAGAGAGAGAGAGAGAACATGAGAGAGAGAGAGAACGACAGACCGAGAGAGAGAAACAGACCAACAGAGAGCGACAGAGACAGAGAGCAACAGAGAGACAGACAGAGAGCAACAGAGAGACAGACAGAGAGCAACAGAGAGACAGACAGAGAGCAACAGAGAGACAGACAGAGAGCAAGAAATACCAAGACAGACCGAGAGAGATCAACAGAGAGACCAAGAAGCTGACAGACCGAAAGACAGACCAAGAAACTGACAGAGAAACAGACCGAGAGAAAGAGAGACAGAGATGGAGACCGAGAAACAGAGTGTGAGGGAGAGAGACAGATACAGACTGAGAGACACAGAGAGAGAGAGACCGAGAAACAGAGAGAGAGACAGATAGAGAGAGACCTAGAGAGAGACAGTATGACCAACGGAGAGAGAGAGAGAGAGAGAAACAGAGAGACAGACCGACAGAGAGAGAGCAACAGAGAGACAGACAGAGAGACAGACAGACAGAGAGCAACAGAGAGACAGACAGAGAGCAACAGAGAGACAGACAGAGAGAAACAGAGACACAGACAGACAGAGAGAAACAGAGACACAGACAGACAGAGAGCAACACAGAGACTGAGAGAGAAAAATACAGAGAGAAAGCGACAGAGCGAGAGAGAGAAATACCAAGACAGACCGAGAGAGATCAACAGAGAGACCAAGAAACTGACAGACCAAGAGACAGACCAAGAAACTGAGAGATGTATAGAGAGAGCGAGAGAGAGATGTATAGAGAGAGCGAGAGAGAGATGTATAGAGAGAGCGAGAGAGAGATGGAAAAAGAGAGATGTATGGAGAGACAGACAGACTGAGAGACAGACAGACTGAGATGGATAGATCGCTATAGATTGATATATCTCATTCTTTTTTATTTAATTATATATCTCTTAATTTGATGTGAACTTTGGGCTTCACAACCAATCAGATTTCTTGTATATTTTAAAATGAACTGGTTGTTATGGGCATTTCCCTATCCTGAACTGGGACAATGAAAATCATAATTTGAGTGGTTGCCCCGGGTAACCGTGTCCATCCTGTGATACATAAAGCAGGTTGTGTGTTGGTAAGAGGAGAGCACATTCTTTCCCTGTCTAGTGATGACACCTGACAACACTCTTCATCAATAAATAACACTGACGGGAAACATTAAAGAATGGCCGATCCCTCTGTGTAGACCTATCGCCTTCACCATGACGCTGGCGTTGTGGAAATCCCCGACTTGGAGCAATCAATGCTCAAGGGGTTAAGGAGATGAACTCAGCTGTGTGGTACCCAGAATGCAGTGGGGGATGGACTGATGCTGGAGCTCTCTTTCGTCTCTCCTCCTCCTCCTCCAGCATCCTCAGCATCTCTGCCATTCATCCCTTATGCACAGAACGTACATCCAGAGAGAACAGGCACTGGGGTACCCCCAGCATGGACCAGCAGTAAGGGCAATGGGGGACCAGAGCGGTGTGGTCGTCGGGAGGCAGCCAACACCCCCTGAGCCCGAGGTGGAGGCCAGGATCCAGAAAGCGGTGGAGTTCAAGACGGAGGGGAACCACTGCTACAAGGACAAAAAATTCCGGGATGCCATCGGCAAGTACCACCGGACCCTGCTGGTGCTCAAGGGTGTCCATGAAGACGGAGAAGGGAGGACGGCTAATGGCGGGGCCGGCACCAGGTTGACTGAGGCTCAGAAGGTGCGGGTGGAGGCCACAG